CTCTGCTACTTGATGTTCAAATATTGAGGTTCTTTAAGGCATGACACTTGATCTTCTGTCATTCTCTAATCCATCCTTAGTGATCTCATTCCAACATAAGACTTCAGTTCCCATCTGTATATTCATGACTCTCTGATTTATATGTCCAGCCCACACATCTCTTTTGAGCTCCAGAACTATTCAACATCTGCATTTAGATGTTTCACAAGCACCTCAATTTCAACAAGTCATTGTCTTTACTTGTTTTTTTTCTCCAGTATTATCAATCTCAAGGAGCTCTAGTAGCATAATGCCTAAGGCACTCGACTGCTAACCAGAAGGCTGGCTGTTCAAACCCACCAGCCACTCCTCAGAAGGAAGATCGGGTAGTCTACTTCCATAGTGATACCGCCTCAGAAACCCAAGGAGGGGTCACTGTGAGTCAGGTCCCACTCGGTGGCACATAACAACAACAACAACATTATCCATCTCAGTAGATGTTCCCATCGTCCATCCAGGTGCTTAAGCCAGAAACCCAGGGATCAACCTTAACACCTCCTACTTCCTCACTGCTCATTTCCAATCAGTCATTAAGTCCTGCTGATTTTACCTCTATCTTTCAGATCTGTTCATTTCTATCTCCCTAGTCCAAGCAACTATCATATCTTACCTGCACTATTGCAGTAGTCTCCTAATTGGTATGCTTCCAACTTTTCCTGCCTTCTTCTAATCTATTCTTTACCTGTAACTGGAGTGATTCAAAAACAGAAAACTAATCTTATGGTGTTCTCCAATGTGGAATCTTTCAATGGCATCGCATTGCTTTTAGGATAAATGTTGACATCCTTTATTAGATCTATAAGACCTTCCTTGTATGACCTGACCCCTGCCTTTCTCTCTAGCTCTGGCTCCTGCCTCTCTCCTCACATTCTTTTTCACTCCAGGCACACTAGGTTTCTTTCCATTCTTCAGGCATACTGTGCTTCTTCCCACCTCTGGGTCTTTACCTATGTTATCCCTTCTTCCTGTATCACTTTTCTCCTTTCTCTTTACCTTATGCTACCAGTCCTTTAGAGTTCAGCTCAAATACCACTTTATTGTGAAATTGGTTGGGATCTTCCCTTGCATGTTCTCAGAACATCCTGTGTTTTCTCTGTCATTAAATTGTCACAATTCTAGTGGTTGTTTCCCTGTTAAAGTAAGCAGCAGATATGTCTGTCACATTCACCATTGAATCCCCAGCATCTAACACTCTGCTTGAATTGATATTTGTTAAATTAATGAATTAACTTATTCCAATCTGGCTTTGCTCTCATAATGAAAATGTTCTCCTTTTTTATTTTTATTTTTAGATCCATAAAAATATTATGATATATGCCTGATGGTCATAGGACAATCACCTTGTTTTCATACCCTAATTTTAGGTGGTTGAGTATTTATTTTGAAATCTATGTACTAATCATCTATTTAACGGGGATATCATGATAAATGTTCATCATTTTATAAAATTTCAAATAGGTCTTATTATGTGTTCAAATATCACTAATGAGCAGTTATTTAGATTTTTCTTAAGTCATTAAACCTATGTCAGCAGCCTTATTTCATAGATATTGTTGAATAAACAAAAAGAAAATAAGAAGTAAGCACAATAATTAAGCACATGTCATATGTGGATTTTCATAGTAATAGTTATCACAGGAATTAAAATGGGCGTGCTCAAGGAATGTCAAGAAGTCCAGTTTAGTTTTGTGACACAGATACTACAGCTTAAAAAGAAAAAACAAACAAACAAAAAAACCCCACAAAACCTGAGGTTATTAACTTCCCAGGTGAGGAAATATACACCAGTGAAGAATTCACTGAATAGTTTTTTGAGGTGAGGGAATTCAGGGTTTTTAAGTGTTAAGTTTTAAGCTTCACAATAAATGGAGAGAAGATTGAGGTTGTTAAAGAATTCACGTTGCTTGGTTCTACAGTCGATGCCAATGGAAGCAACAGTCAGTCCATTAGACGATGTGTAGCATTGGGAAGGTCAACCACGAAGGAACTGTTTCAAGTGCTGAGGAGCAAGGATGTCTCCTTGAGGACTAAGGTGCGCTGGACACAGCCATGATATTTCCAGTAGCCTCGTATGCATGTGAGAGCTGGAGAATGAATAAGGAAGACTAAAGAAGAGTTGATGCTTTTGAGTTGTAGTGCTGACAAAGAATGCTGAAAGTACCATGGACTGCTAAAAGAACTAACAGATATGTCCTGGAGGAAGTGCACCCGAAATGCTCCTTGGAAGCGAGAATGGCCAGACTTCGTTTCACCTATTTTGGTCATGTTGTCAGAAGGGACCACTCCCTGGAGAAGGATGTCATGCTTGGTAGGGTGGAGGGTCCACGAAGAAGGGGGAGGCTCAAGTATAGCAGGGATCATGGAGCTGGCACAGGATCGGGCGGTGTTTCATTCTGCTTGCATGGGGTCGCTATGAGTCAGAAATGACTCGCTGGCATCTAAAAACAACAACAAATGTTAAGAAGGAAGCTTTATGATGGTTGTACTTTCCAAAGAAAGGTGATCCAACAGAATGTGGAAATTAATGAAAAATACCATTAATGTCACATACAAGTAGAATTTTACTGAAGATACTTCAAAAATGGTTGCAGCAATACACTGACAGGGAACTGCCAGAAATTCAAGCCAGATTCAGAAGAGAACATGGTACAAGGGATATCATTGCTGATGTCAGATGGATCTTGGCTAAAAGCAGAGAATATCAGAAAGATGTTTACCTGTGTTTTATTGACTATCCAAAGGCATTTGACTGTGTGGATCGTAACATATTATGAATAACATTGTGAAAAATGGGAATTCCAAAACACTTCATTGTGCTCATGTGGAACCTGTATATAGACCAAGAGGCAGTTTTTTGAACAGAACAAAGGGTATTGCATGGTTTAAAATCAGAAAAGGTGTGCATCAGTGTTGTATCATTTCACCATACTTATTCAATCTATATACTGAGCAAATAATCCAAGAAGTTGAACTATGTGAAGAACACAACATCAAGATTAAAGGAAGATTTGTTAACATCTATAATATGCAGATGACACAACCTTACATACTGAAAGTGAAGAGGGCTTGATACACTTAGTGATGAAGATGAAAGACTAGAGTCATCAGTATGGATTAATACCTCAACACAAAGAAAACAAAAAACCTCACAACTAGACCAATAAGCAACATCATGATAAACAAAGAAAAGATTGAAGGCAAGGTTTCTATTTTGCTTAGATCCACAATCAATGTTCATGGAAGCAGCAGTCAAGAAATCCAACAACTTATTACATTGGCTGAATCTGCTGCAAAAAACCTCTTTAAGGTGTTCAGAAGCAAAGATGTCACTTTGAGGACTAAGATGTACCTGACCCAAGCCATGGTCTTCTCATGCACCTCATATGCATGTGAAAGCTGGACAATGAATCAGGAAGACTGAAGAAGAATCGATGCCTTTGAATTATTGTTGGCAAAGAATATTGCATATACCATGGACTTCCAGAAGAATGAACAAGTCTGTCTGGAAGACGTACAGCCAGAATGCTTCTTAGAAAGGAAGATGGCAAGACTTCATCTCACTCTGAACATGTTGTCAGGAGGGACCAGTACCTGGAGAAAGGCATGATGCTTGGTAAAGTAGAGGGTCAGAAAAAAAGAGGAAGACCCTAAATGAGATGGATTGACACAGTGGCTACAACAATGGGCTCAAACATAACAC